CGGTAATGAGCTCCACAGGATGAAGGGGACCCCTAAGGAGCCTATGTGGAACCCCTAAGCAACAAGCCATGCCAGCAGAATCCTTCTGGCCTGGGTTGGGAGAATTAGGCACATGGGTACAGGAGCAAAGGCAAGGAGGTCAAGGTGGCTGAAGTCTGTCCCTGCTGTACCTCCCTGTACCTCCTCCAGACAGGACCTTGGCAGTGGCTCCAGGTGGAAGACAAGAGGGGAGTGAGTGCCCATATGCAGAATGTCATCGTGTCACTGCTGTGGGGCTCAGGCCACCAGGGCAGGGGATGGAAGTCTTTCTAGGCTCTCCAGCCACCCGGAGGAAAGGCCAAGGAAAGGAAGCCCAGCCCACAGCCTTTTATGAAGATCAGTTACAAGAGACAACCTCAAACAGGGCCAACAGACTTCCAGAAGAGAGCACCAAGGCTGGACAGGGCCAAGACAAGCAGGAAAGCCAATCTAGAAGGACCAGAGACATCAAGAGAAGGGAGGAAGACGACCATGCACTCTGGGGGCAGAAGTGGGGGGAGGAGGACACAGTTATAGAAACAAGAATACAATGAGAAGACCAGTCAAGTAAAGCTAAAGTGGAAGAAAGAAAACGGGGGAACAGTTCCTCACCCATGAGGACAGGAGTCTACGCACTGGGAAGTTCACCTAGAAAGCCCCATGTACTGACACCAAGGCACCCGGGAACACAGAAGACAAACACAGGGGGAAAAACAGGAAACCTTACTTAAGTGAGAGCCAGCCATGGTACAGGGACAAAGGGTCACGCGGGCACGGACTTCCCAAGAGCACTGCAGGACACCAATGACAGTGCTCCCAGGCCTGCAAAATCCCCAGAGAAACAGCACCCAGACGAGAACTGCACACCTTGCCCAACAGCCAGCAAAGTGCAAAGGTACAAAAAAAAAAAGGTGCTTCTGGAAATGCAGTGTGTCCACCAAAGCTAACCCCTCTGTACCTTTCTTGGGAAAATACTGTTTTTTCCACACAAACAAGGAATAAAGCACACAGGAGGAGGACAGGCCTTGGAAAGCAGAGGGCAGTGGTGGCAGCAGCGGTGGCTGGGGAGGCAGGAAGCTGGCCTGGGACAGCACAGTAAACCACTCAAAAGGGACTGACCGGTCGGTGACTCCAAGCATGTGCAGGTCACCAGCCACCTCGAGCCACTGCTCTCACAACAGCCAGGGCTAGGGCTGAGTTAGATAAATGCACATTTACAGAAATTACCAAAGGAAAATGTGCTGTTCCTGTCAGGGGAGATGTAAGATTCGTAAGAGAAAAGAAAAAGTAACCAAGGCCTCATCCCACAATGCAGCTTTTAATCATGCAAAATAATATCATCAATCAAAAGCCTAACGTTGGGAGGACACTGGTCTAGTTATGCAAGTGTGTGCATGACAGAGTTACACCTCCCAGCTTTAGGTTACTTCATGATGAAAAGGCAAATTCACAAAGAAACAACACAAGTAACTTATACAGAAAATGGCAGCAGAAACCAAAAGAATCAGGTGGGGGAGGCATCCTGCATGGGAAGGGACTGCGCTCTGTGGGCAGACCCAGTCCTGGTGGAATAAGGGACTCTCTGTGTGCGTGCATGTGTGTGCGTGTGTGTGTGTGTGCGCGCGCGCACGCGCGCGTGTGTGTAGAGACGGACTAGAGAGAAACTTTGAAAAATGACTCAGCTTAACACTCAGCACCCACCACCCTAGTAGCCACCAGGTAATTAATTACCAAAAGAAGTGGAGTCTTTGTTAATGATTTAACAATTTTTTTAAAAATTTCATTTGAAAGTCAATAGAAGAAAAATCACACCATGCTTCCCTCCGTATTCTACAGTAACCAACTGATTGAACACTAGCATAGGCTGTCAAGTTACTTCATTTGGGGCAGTGCTGTGGACTCAGCTAAAGGCCTTTACCCTAGCTAAAGCCTATCCCACCCTTTTAAAATTCTTATTTTTACTTGAGACAAGGTCTCACCAGGTCATAAATTACTGACGCTGTGCTTAAGCTAGGGATTCTCCTGCCTC